AAGAACATTACAATTCCTACCACGAAAGGGCGCACCGCTAAATAAGGGTGCGAAAAAATTCTGATTTCGACGAAATTTGGTATCTGTGCTTTTTGAACATGAAAATCACAAATATGAAAATTCGAAAAAAAATAACGACGCGAAAGCAACAATAATAATCAAATTAATTAATGTGACAGCCAGATCTTTATTTGTTTTAAGAAGTTATTTTGGTTGCATAAAATTAGGCGCCCTTCAGAAGTGATTTTGTCATTTAAAAGTAGACATAGGGAAAAACAATACACATAAATCCCTATGTCTACTTCTTAATATTAACACTGTGTCAAGGGTATTGGAGTACACCCAGCTTTGTGTAATAGAAGTGCAAATCAAATTCTTCGGACGCGTCCACAGTTGTAGTACAAGTGGGCGACGTGGTCGAATTAAGATTTTCACGTGGTAACAACCGCGCAATTATGGTACTGGTCAGTGGTCACTATTAGATCAGCAATCTAGCTTGGTGTGTGTGGGACCTTGGTTTCAAACTCCACATCTTGACGAGGCAGCTTCATACAAAATCCCTCAAGCCCACGGTGAACAGCTTATGCCTAAAGTGGACTCTGGATACCGAGGAACCTCCAGTATCAATCTTCCTTACTGCGGTATGGAGCCTGGTGTAGATGATCGTCATTTCTCCAGTTTTCTTGGAATCAATATAAACCAAAAACAAATTACAACCGTGGAATGTGCTCCCGTAAGCACATCAAGGCAAGGATTACACGTGGAAATGCCGCAGGATATCCCCCCCAGCGTTTCAATGGTGTTAGTAGAGTTGGCATCTTACATAAAAGATTTTCCGATGTAAATTTTACCACAGAAAAGCATAAAGCACTTCAACAAGGAATTCTTGGCACTATCTTAAAACTATAAGAGTAAACCGTGTGTCTCCGATTCTAATGTTGAAACCTTAAGCCTGCTTGGCTGTCGGTTAACTGCACCAATCGGGTCACTGCGCAGTGGCTCCGAACCATAGTGTCTATGCTGACCCAAAGAGAGGGACCACCACTTGGTGCTGCCGACGAGAATCATGTTCCGAAGGTGACCAAATGCCGATTTCCCGGACAGCACGAACGAATCAATAGACCGCATTTTGAAAAACATCCGAAAACTTAACGGCGGTTAAGCACGAGTGAATGACGTATGCTTAAGGGGGAGCAGGAAGGAGCCGTTGCTCATTTTGCCATGCTATGGATGGAGCCCACCATAAAATAACAGCGTTACGCTCAAACACCTGGACGGTAAGGTTTTCAATCTGCACATTAGGGAGGATCACTGTCAAGTTTAAGGGTTCCATATGGTCTAAGGCTGACGTGGTTCCTAAAAAAGAGCCGGAAGTCACGACATCTGGAGGATCCAATTGTCCTCGAGAATCCGTTCAACGTGATACAAGTGACCATCGGTCGAAGCAAAAGAGAAAGGCCAAAGGGTGGGTCCCAAGGAAAGCGCCAAGTGCTGCCACAGGAAGTGACATACCGCTCGCCAATGAAGCACCGAGTCTTAGTCGGTTACTCACCCCACAATACGGTACGAAATTTCCTTAAGACAGAAACATCTACAACACAGTAAGGCGTTGGATGTTGTGAAGAAGATTTGGTATGTCTAAGTGCCCCTTCACGCTAGGCAGGGCGGGAAGCAGTGCAGCGATGCTGAGCAGCGCGACGGAATCGCCTTAACCGAGGACACAGTCGCACGTTCAGCGGCTTCGTCTGGCGGCTGGAGCAAGCACTGTCACCTGTCCCAACAGTACAAGATGGATTTCAACGAGGGCCTGCTTGTTTTTCTACGCCGGTATGGGTACGGCCTCTCTAAACACTAAATACATTAAAGGACTAGCGACGAAAATTTTTTTGATCATTTTACTTTACCCTCCTCCGACAATACGCTTTTGAGATATAAGGGCTTATAACCGATTACGATAAAGGATCGAGGGGAAGGGAAACTTCCTGGGTTCCTAAACAGACGTGACAAACTTTTTAAAAGCAATTACAAATACCTGCAATTACACCCACTTCAACCTTTTCTCAAATCGCATTTTTACAATGTACCTACTTTAAGGCTGTGTTCAGACACGGCGATAATCGCGCGATTCTGAACAATGTCTAAAAACACTTCCACCATCACGTAAACAGAATGTTACCGATCATGTCTTATCCAAACCCATTAACTTTAACACACCACTTTATACAAACATAATTCCTAGCAAATAAATTCTAAAAATAAAGAATTGTACACAAACAGAACATTTGCAATATCAGCTTAAAATAGAGCAAATTAAATAAATACAATAGTCTACTAATTTCAATAATCAAACAATGAACCATCCGAATCGTAACCAGTCTTTCCCCTAAACAACCTAAAATTTGATATTGCGGCACTGCATGGGAGAGTTGCACAGGTCATATTCGGGGTTACGACGTCCCCACTGTCATATAAATTTTGGTGGATTTCGCTAAAAATCCACAACAAACTCGTACTGAATAGTTAATTTTTGGGGCACTTCTCATACCTCGAGCTTCTACTGGCGACAACAACGCGAGCCCTGCAGAACAAAGAACAAAATTCCGTTCCGCAAGAGCTGTGCGCGTTTACAAGATCTTTCCGACACCAGTTTAAAAACAATCGTACCGAAACTGTAGAAGGCAAAAAAATGAAAAATCACACCACGTTAGTAAACCACGATCGGGGATGGCGCCGAGATGTCGTCAATCTCACACTTGACCTCCGGTGACTGTCCGGTACTAAGTACACTCCTCGTCGTCCTCCAAGCGTTCTTCTACGGACCCTACCAACCAACGTGAGATGAAAAGCTGCTCTTTTACAAATAAATTTGCAAAAATGCAAAAAACGAAACACCAATTAGGGGTGCAAATGCCGCCACGCGCAAAATATTGATGACAATGCGCGCGCGTGGTGAGGGGTTAATGTAACCCTGAGTACCGGAAAGTGGAACGGTTTGAAGAACTTACAGAAAAAAAGTTCATAACATCATCCTATTAAAATTCGAGCTTCTACCCTGCACCATCTGAATCATTAAACTGCCACAGGTGGTCACTTAGCCGTTTCAAAAATTTGGTTTTGAATTTGTACTTTGTTAAACACAGGGAAATTCTCAAACACACCGCTTCATAGCGAACGTGAAAGTATGTCCGGCGATAACAAGCGATAATAAGAAAGGTATTGAGCAAAGTGAGGGCGGTTGCCACGATCTCTTGGGACCTAAAGGTTTCCCCCCGTTCTTTTTAAAGTAGAGCACGTGACAAAAATACTGGTTTTCTATTAGTTGTTAGGTCATTTGGTGCAAAAAATAAGTCCCTGTTCAATTTTTCTCATGGGTAAGACTCAAATAGCGAAAGACGTGGACGAGTGGGTGGTTTTAAGCTGGCTTTCGCAAGCGGTCACGTACTACGTTAGGTACACGGAATTTGATTCTTAGACAAGTTACCAGTGCGAGCCAGTACCAATCTGAGTACGCTAATTTATTATTATTGTTGGTTTATTTCTCGTCAGTACAAAATGTTTTCGTTTACACTACATATAAATATCGGTGTGTGAAACAAACGGGACGTGAAAAAACTTTTTAGCAGTCTGATTCTTAGCAATGCCTTTTATTTAAAAGTGATAGAATTTACGCGAAGGAACCTTTTCGAGTAGAAGGACCGCTTTTCAAACAAAAAACGGGATTAAGCTGAACTTGAAACTCATTGTAATAAACAAAGAATTTCCTTTTTTTGGATTGCTAATAGTAACGGCTAATTAAATCCAGTGCCTCAAAGTCATTAGACAGCGCCTTGTGTGATAAATAAAATTTTGTATACAACGGCATACGGCAGGGAAATTAATATCAACACAGCGGAACATGTGCTATTTTATTTCTGCACGTAATCACGTATTACTAAAATTACGTATTATTAAGGAGCTCCTAGCGAGTGTATAGTTTTGTGGTGTCTGTCCGTCTGTCCGTCCGATAACTCATAAACGAATGGACCGATTAGGATGAAATTTTGTAGGTGGATTCTTTATCAAATTTGTAGATCGGTGGTCTTGAATTGGCAATGTAGCCCAAAAAATAAGGAAAGCCCTTTTGACATCTCCGTGTGTTATGAACCGAATTGCATGAAATTCAATATGCGTATAGCTTTAGCCATATAGAACGCAATTCCAATTGAGCCTAATCGATCAACATTCACAGTGCCCTTTTCGCATCTCGACCATTTACAAACCGGATTGAAAACTTTCTTATTTATGTAGGTATTTAAATTAAATTTGATCCATAGCCACTTGGAATAAAAGCAAATTTAACACCAGTTTCAAAATTTGGTTTTGCGCATGCGCAGTGCCAACTTATTTATTTATGGAGGCGTTCAAATGAAATTTGATACATAGCCACTTGGAATAAAAGCAAATGTAGCGCCATTTTCCAAATTTGGTTTTGTGCAAGATGTGCAGTGCCACCTTTCTTATTTGTGCAAGCAATTAAATGAAATTTCATACATGTACCTACACTTTAAATAAAAGCAAAACTAACATCAGGTTTAAAATTTGGTTTTGCACATACATAGCCATACCCAGGAGCTCGTTTTCTATATTTGTTTAGTTTATTAAATGTTAGAAAAATACGCTATGAACCATCAATACTAACCCAAATCCTTTTCTCGAAAAAAGGAGATTGTCTTTGATTACAGCAACTTAGGCAACCAAACATGATCGATATTGCCATCACACGGTGATCACACGTACAATTTTCAAATCGATTTATCACTTAGGCAACACATTATGCAACGGCCTTTTGTCATACTTTTTAAACTCAAAACTGTGCACCTTCCAGGGTCTTTTCTAATTGTGAATCCCTTTAAAGACCGTGGAATTTATTGAAAAGGAAAGCAATTGTTTAAAAAATAAAATTTTGTCTACAGATTGGGCCAATCGTTGCAAACAAGGGCCTTGATGAAATTCATACTTACCCTTAAAATTCTAAAAGGGCTTTCCGTCATAAGGCATATCGTATGTTCCTTTTCTTGTCCATTGTTACCATCTTTGTTATCCTTATGAACAACCACGGAAGGTAACATATTCTGCTTTTCGCCGGCTTCCCCAGGAGCACTTCTCAAACTAAACTTCCAAAACCTCTGCAAATGAGAAGAAATCCACCCCTGCGAAAAAACGGAATACTGTATACTTACTGCGATCATTTCTGTTTCTAATGACATTTGAACGTAAGAAATTTGCATTTATTTGAGGAATTTTTGATTCGCCGCCAAGTGGCTTATATTTAGAAGAGGTATTGAGCTCGAACAATGCCAAAGTTTTTTGAAAATCGATAATGATGTACTTGTTCGAAGACACGCACACTTTTAAGTGTAATCGTGAATGACATCGTAAACCATTTATTACGCAGTTTTGGAAAATGGCGTCTGTTTTAGTCACGGAATAACCAAATGTATAAATACAGCGTTTCGCAAGTGCAGCAAAACTTTCATAAAACTCGGCAAAAGTCCAATTTCACCCTAAACCATAGTAAAGCTTTCAGTATTAATATTAAAGCTGCGGTACGCGTATACGACGTCGACGTCTTAAAGTAAACTTACCCGACTCCGATCAACAGGTGTTTCATTTACGTTGCCCTCTTGCTTTGCTTCGAGCGATTTCTTTTCGGGTTGTTCGATTGAAGTTGTTAATGTAATTACCGGGGTCGCAGGTGTGGACACTTTGGTGTCAATGTTGTCCCCAATGTCGACCCTCCAGGATCTCGCCACGTTAAAGAAGTGCAATAAATTCGGCATCTCTCGATAATTGTCGCCCTACTTGATCCTGAAAAGAAAAAAAAAATTGGTTATCCACTGGTAATTAATATTGTGTGTTGCTAATTAAATTATAGTATACGAAGAAATTTCATGGACCACCCAAGTCCTTTTTTTCGGAGGTCGGAGCCTCGAACCCTATAGTAATTATCACGACTACGACTCTGTCTCAATTTAACACAAATTCTTTAATCATTTACTTTATACTTGATAATAAAAACGGGTAACGAATTTAATGTGAGATTATTATGTAAAAAAATTTTTATTTGTTGGATATTAATAACACGGTCGCTGTCATCCCGGCGATTCCCATCTCTGCGATGACCATCCCGACATCAAGCCATCCCGGCGTCCATTTACTTCCCGGATTCGGTTACCCCGGCGATCTAAACCGGGCTCGGTGTCGGGGGGATGGAAAACATTTAAAACGCGGTAAACATATGAAGTAAATTCATGTTTATTATATTGAAACAATTCACCGGAGTTAAGTTCCCTTATTTGTTACTGTATAGAGTGCGGTTTTTCCTTTCTAGATATAATACAATCTGAATAGGGAGTATAGTATCACATTTAAATTGTGCCATCTATAGTTATGTAAAGTTTTCTGATATATGCCTGCGTTGGTAAGCCGAAAAACGTATTTTTTTTCAAATGCGTCCTTTGCACCGCTGGCAATTGTGTAAACAAGACGGCTTATTTGTGCTTCCTTGGATATTTCAAGCGTAACAACCACTTTCGGTACTTAATTTGACAACCGCTTCTAAAGTATATCATTGTTTATGTCCAAAAAAAGAAAAATGGAATTGGACAGACGTCGTTAGGAAAGTGTGCATTGCCGGGATAATCGATGCCGGGAAAGTAATAGTCGCCGGGATAGGTCGTCGCCGGGTATAAATGGCTGGGATGACCGATGCCGGGATAGTAATGGTCGTCGAGATGGGTTGTTGCAGGGAAAACGGTGCCGCGGTGTACGCCGCCGGGATGTACATCGCCGAGATAGGAAATTTTTTAATTTCGATAACACTTTGATTTTGATCGGAAGGCTCGGCTCCGGCGGATTCGCCGCCTCGCCTCGCTCAGATTGGTAACGATCCATAGCTCGACTTCGCCACGCACTGTTCATTGTACCGCATTTTTAAAACTTGCGCCTCCCAATGCGACTCGACTGCCATAAATATTTGTTACCGGCGATTATTCCATAAATCCGTATTTCGTCCGATTTTCGTTCAAATATCCCCCCCCCCCCAATCGGATATGGTTGAATGGTACGACGTCAGTTGGGGGCGTTTTAAGCCGAATTGTGGAAATAGTAAGGTATTTTATGTCGTCTCGCTTTCGCGATGCGAGGGATAAAAGCAGAGACCTAAAAAAAACTTTGGGCCCCCCTTTCTCTCAAACGGCCCATGGTTTTGGGTTAGGACATTCGTTTCATGCGGCCCCGTTGGCGCTATTAATTAAAGGAGTTTCGAAGGTGGAAGCAATTATATTTTTCGAGAAATTTGTAAAAAATTGCGTTTTTGCGATTTATAAGGCGGAGGGGGGGGGGGGCCCTCTGCGAATTTTTTTCCGAGTACGCGCGGGTCGACGCGAGAAGCGTAAACTTATTATTTATTTATTATCCCTATCTTGTTCTAGACCCTCAACAGGCTTGCGCGCAATTACAGAGTTACCCCCCATAATGCTTTTTAGAGGTGCCCCTGCAGGATTTTCTATACTACGGTATTTAACCTTACGAATTAGGATAACTGCAGGAAGACGTAATTCGGAATAGCCGGCAGAATGCTCGAAACTGATCTAAGGAAATTCCCATATCTCTCAGATTAAAAATTCTTACCTCCGCCCAGGTTCGAACACCCGATCTCGGACTATGCAGCTTAACGCTCTACCACCATCGATTAATTTTGTATACTCTTGACCATGAAACTACCACTCTTTAATTATGCTCATCCTCATCTCATCGGTGGCGGAACATAATTTCTATAACACCTGAATTACAGCGTTCTTTTGATTTTGGAACGATATCTAGTTGTAAGATGTAGGTACTGGATTTTACCGTCTGCTAATACCATCCAAAGTTCAAAAGTTTTAAAAAATAAATTGAAATAATTATGATACGAGTAACATAGGCAACCTGTGTTGCATCTTCCGGTGAAATGTAGGCTTAAGATTTTCTTTTTAATTTTTTTACCCCACCAATAAAAAATTGGGAGGTTATTGAAATCACTCCGAGGGGTAATCCACTGAGCAAACATGTGTACACCAGAATTCCAAGCTGTAGAAGAATTCCAGAATTGTATTACAAAAACATTCCATCAGACTTTCAAAACTGCAAAATTTCATTGACTTCCAAAGAATTCTAATTGATTTCCAGAAACTTTTTTAAAAAATCCATCGAGAATCTTAAAGTTGATATTAATGCTGTCAGTGTAAAGCTGTTAAATTGATATTTATTTATGTGCCTACATATTACAATAATTAATTTTTTTTAATAACGTTTATAGAAAAGTCGACAGAAAAGCGCGGGAAAAAGTTTCATTTCATGATCGTGAAGGTCAGTGACACAATAATTTAGTTAACTTTGAGTCAAGCTTTTAGAACGTGTAATTTGAGCATATGAATGCTGTCATCGTGGCATCAAGCGGTGAGTGCTGAATGTTTTTATATCGTACCTAAAAAGTGACACTTGGTGTGTGCAGCTGCGCCGCCTCGCCTCGTTACTTTGCAAACTTTTGAGCGTTCCTTGGCTTCCTTTAAAATTCCAGGAATTATTTTTGTGAAATATTTAAGTATTGATGACATCATTTGACTCAACACGAGAACATATCTTCGGCTTCGGCTGTTGCGCCGCCTCGCCTCGCTAGTTTACACACTTTTGAAGGATTCTTTGGTTTCTTTACCATGATAAAATGCGCACAAATATTTTCGTATTTCCAAGAGGGCTAAATTAATTTATTTTATAGCATATGACATATGACAATTCTGTTTCTATGGAAACGATCGCGACGGCAGAACCTAAGCTTGCTATTTTTGACGTCTCTAGATTAAATTCAGAATTGCTAGAAGGTTTACAATGATTTATATGGCTTCCGCTATAAAATAATAGTTATTTATTATACAAGACGATAAAGGGATATTTTAACCATTGGGTCAATTATTTATTCAATGCATTGGGTGAAAGATGTTAATTCCCGAGTGGCGTAGGTATAGATTCTTCTATAAAATAAAGTTTTGTATTATACACGACGATAAAGGGAAACTAACCATCTCGTAAACTTTTTCACTCAATGGTTCAAATATCCCTTTATCGTTTTGTATAATAAATAACCATTAATGTTGTACTTACAGTTTCTATTTCATTATTCCTAGCTTACTATTAAACATCATCGTTCACACTCTTCATTTCCTTTTTTAACATCGCATCATAAGAATAAGGGTCCAACGTCATTCAAAACCACTAAATATTGCTAAAATATTGCGAGTTTTAAAAAAATTATACATTTGGAAAGGTAGTATCTGGGAAACGGGAAACTATTGGGTGTGTTGTCTGTAGAAACACTTGAGGTCTCATATTGTAGCAAATTCTATTTACTTTGAAAACGCGTGGGTATTATCGACAACTAGTCTTTTTATAGTTTAAATCGCCAAAATATGAAAACAAGTGTAAATTGTGCACAACTCTTGTGCAGATAAAGCGCATTTTTTTAACCGAAATAACTTTTGTTTTGACATCACTAATGAATATATTTCTTGCAAACGTCTCAATCGCACTTTGTGAGTACCCTCTTCCGACAATCCGTTCTTGAGGTATAAGGGAATATACCCGATCACGATAAGAGGTCGAGGAGGAAGGCTATGGTTGGTAAAAATTAATTCCTTACGTTGAGACCTTTCAATAGAGTACCATGAAGGATAGAACTAGTTTCATCCCCCTCCCCCCCTCCACCGCGTTCTTTGATAAGAGGACAGAAAGAAGGGCAGTAGTTGGGAGAAAACGGTTCCTTCCGGTGAGATTTTTAATTACAATACAATGAGAGATAAAATTAATTTTTACCCCCCCCCCCCCCCTAGTCTCGGAAAAGAGTTGCACGGGGAAGTTATAGTTTGTACAAACCAATTCATTTCGATGAGACCTTGAAGGGTAGAACATGTGTACCCCCCCCCCATTTTTCTAAATTTTAATTGGGCACCACTAAAGGTATGAGTATGCAAAATCTGAGACCAATTGATTGTCGTATGTAAAAGTTATTCACGTTTTACTTTCAAAAACAGCATCTCAGGAAATAATTCGTGGGGGGGGGGGCTTTTAGACAGAGAAATTTGATGGCCGTCTGGCACACCTTCAAGGTATAGGCTACCTACTGCAAAAATTCCAGGACTCTATGACCATTCCCCTAGAAGTAGTTCGAAACGGCAGAAGTGAGTCCGGACGGACGGACGGACAAAACGCAAACAATGGCACATTTTTTTAATTCTTAAAAAATGCGCAAAAAAGTTTCGCGGTTTTTTTATCGGGTCATCTGGTCAACATCATACACATTACTCACCAAAAAACCAGAATTACTGGATTTGACGCAAGATCTGATGGCTATTGGACTAGTAATGAACTAGTAAGGAGGAGATCGGTTTAGCTGAAATCTTGTACTAATGTTCTATCTAATGGTCCTGAGAGCTGAAAAAATTGGAAACGATTGGAAAATGGGAAATGTCCATTTGGCTATAAAACATATTTATTGAATAAGGTATGAGCAACAAAATTTTGATTGAGAGGAAGCCGTGGAAATTGTAAGTTACTTCTAATATTAGCTCGCGTTAAGAAGTTATTACGGAAAACGATCGCGTGAATGGAAAATAAACGGGAAAGTCGTGAATTCGGTCTGAACTGTACAGGAATAATTAATAAATGATCGAAATACGGTTCTGGATTAATATCTGATCGGTTAGTGAGCTGTGGTAAAGGTCTCGGTAAAAGTTTCAGGAAGAGTATCCGATGAAATGCTAAATGAAACTTTT